ACCTATGGGTCAAAAAAAGTAGACCTACAACTTCAAACCAGCCATTTTATTTACCTCTGTAAAATATAAGCTAAGGATACCTTAATAAGCAACTATAGCTTAACAGCTAATAAAAAAATGCTGATGAAGATTTTCAGTCATCCAGGTCATATTCATTCCATAAAAGTTTAAACTTTTACGGAACGACTAATAAAAAGATGAATAAATGGTAAAAATAAAATTCCTATAGACACAGACCTTGAATATCTGAAGTTTATTAAGCTATAATGATATAATTCTAAAAAGACTTAAATTAGTAAATTAAATTTGGAACAATGATGATATTGTTTTCCTTTAGTTAGTGGCAAGCCATAGATAACTGGTGGAGAGTTACTCTAGAGCAGGGGTTGGCAACCCAAACTATTCAAAGAGCCATAAACTGGACCAAAAAAACAAAACAAAAAACAAATCTGTCTGGAGCCTCCAAAATATAAAAGCCTCGTATGGCAACATGGGCTCTAAGCTTTTTAGCTCACTATAAAAAAGGACGGTGTGGGCTTAAAATATGTAATATGCATTCATGATTAAAGGTTTATCCTGGAGCAAATTTCACATCATGTGACCAATCTGCTGTACGATATTTTGTGCTTTAAGTTTAAATTCCAGTACAATTTTAGTGAATTAGGTTTTGTTACATTGATGAAATTTAGAAACACAATAAAGAAATCAGATTTTAATGCTATTTTTATTTTGAAGATTTTGGGGAAAGAAAATTAAAGAAAGTTTACATACCAGGATCAGAGCGCTAAGTGTTCGATCTGTGAATGGTTTTACATGCTTGCAACAAGCAGCAGTAGTGGAGTTTGGAGATGCAATCCACTTCTTAAATCTATCTTCGTGCTCCTCTTATTTATCCAAAAGTACTGCAATGGGACTTTTCTCTCACTCCCAACTGGGTGGCTGGTATATCTATGATGCCTTCCTTGGAAATGCCTTTTCTAAATGACTCTTTTTGTCATTTGACAACTTCTCATTGTAAAGCAAACATGCAGGCAATCCATCTGCATTGGTTATGAAAGCAAATGATTTGGTCCATTCTTTTTTGAATCCTTTATTCTTATAAATTTTCTGCCTTTTTTCATTTTGGGATCCATGGCCCAAGACACACCCGCAGCTTAGCTTACAACAGCCACCTGCCCGGCACAGCGCAGCGCTGAAACATTTGCTGCAGACTGTGAGGCAAATCTTTGTTGACAGAAATTTTAAAATTTGTTGTTTAAATGTATTCATTATACACATATTTTTACAGCACTGGAAACATAATGAATGTTTGTTTGACCTCCTACACACTATATTAAAACAAAGGAACAAAAAAAAATCCATCTTTTTCCATTTTTATAAATTTTTTAAAAAGCTAGACCCCTGCCAACCCCTGATCTAGAGGCTTGAATGATTAAATAATTACAAAATGTTTGGGGGGGAAACCTAAAGAAATGAGAAGAGGTTCTCTTCACTAGCTTTAACTAATAGCAATTTTCCATCTGCAGTCCTTGCGTAAGGCACATAACCATTCTTACACCACCATAAAAAATATAAAATACAGTGATTCTGATGACAAACTAATTGAAATGCATTTAAGATGTGAAAATAATTTTTTTAAATGACTTTAATCAATGCGCACTTTGTGTGTCTACTTTGTGAAGTCTTTGTATTTGTGAAAATAAAATCAGTTGGACTGATAAACCTTTAACTTATGTTGTTATGTTTCTGTTTATGCATACTATTTAGCAGTTTAGTCTCTGAAATACAAAAGCTTTTCGTTTTCTTATATCCCTGTCCTTATTTTGCACATTTGTCTTGGTTAGCTATTTTAAAATGAGTTATGAATAAAATTGACTTTGCTTTGTATTTACTTTGTTTTATTCAAGCTAGTGATATAGTTTTTAAACAAGGCGCATAAACAGTTTCACTATATATTTCCACCAGAGGGCTCCCTTTGCTTAGAAAACTGCTCTCTGAATGTTTGGCCATGAGTTTCAGTGGTTTGTTCTGATGGAGGTGGAGCAAACCTGGGGGTGGAACATTGTTTAATGGAAAAAATTAACAAAGGCCATAAATATGTTAGAGTTCAGCATTTTTTTTTTTTTTTTACAGCATGTCTTTGCAACAAATTATAAAACAGAGAAGACTGCAATGCAGTAATTTTTTTAATTTCTGATTGATCGGTTTAAAAAGTTCACAAGAAATATTTTATTATCTTTTTAACTTAAGGATGCAACAACTAACAACCATAAAACAGTTAGCTACTAACTTTCATTCTTCTCAAATATTTTTACCCAAATAATAAGTAATTTAGGGTGAATAAAAACTCCCAAACTACTAATAATATCTGATATGGGTGCTTGTTTTTTGCTTTGGTTTTTTCAAATAAAAACCTCTAAAGAAATAATTCTATAACACAAATTTAAAGAGTTTGCCATGGCTGCAATCAGTAACAACATGCAAAAATCATATTTACATATAGTCAGTAACTGTAGATGTATGTTTGTATTTATTAACATGGTTGGGAAATATCATAAACATACATAAATGTTTGGATTACTCTTTGATTACAAAAATGAAACTTCATATTGGCAGCTAAACTCTTGAATGAGAACATTACATTTTAACAACAAAGAAAATCCAAAAAACTAATTTTCTCTTGAATAAGATCCATCAAAACTATCTTCTAGCTTTGTGATTTTATGTCTGTGAAAGGGAACTACTATACCAACTTACTTATTTGTATGGTTGCCTCTTAGGATAAAAATCTTTGCACATTGCTTCTTTGTTTTTAGTTTTATTTTTAATTTATAAATTATTAACCTAGAAACAAGTGTGTGATGGTGCAGAGCTCCTTACTTTACATTCTTATTCTATACTAAGTGACCAAACATAATAAAAAAGAACTTTGAAAAGACACTGACTATTTATTCGATTTAGGCTCCAAAAAAATAGGACATGAATAAGGACAAGGCATAAGAGAGAGTGACCCTTTGCAACATTAAATCCATTACAGGCTTGAGAGACGGATACAGCCATAAGCTCCAAATCTCTTTAATACAACACCCATTAGGAAAGTGCTGAGCTCTCTACCAACAGCTAAGATGCTACAGCTTTCAGCAACACTATGGCCTCTGCTCTACATTCAGTACAAGACAAATATAAAAATTTATATATATTTAAAGTGTAGTTAAGTTAAAGAAAAACAGCATTAACAAATTGTTACAAAATTTTAATAGGCTGTCTGTGAGCATGTGCTCACAATTTGGGAGAGATGTAATATGATATAATTAATGTACAGGTCATTATAATATTCTATAATATAATATAATATCATATTATATTATATGTCACTTTCTGAACAAAATAAATCATGTACTTCTGAACACATGGCTCTTGCTGATCACAGGATAACCTTTTCTGCTAGTAAACATTTGCATGACATTTTCTCCTTAGGTTCACTTCACTGATATTTGACAGAAAACTCCTTACCTTCACCAGTAAAGCTGCCCTGGTATCTATTTAAAACCAAGCCGTTTTTTTAAACTGCTGTTAACAAAGTTAATTTTTAGCTCTTTGTTTAAACTGTTAAGGCTGCTATTCAGATTCAAATACAAAAAGATATTCCCCTGTGAGGAAAAGACATTGAAACTCTTCCCAAGGATGAAATAAGTGGATAAATGGCTCAAATGTGCTGAATATTGATTTACACGAAACAGGAAGTTTTTATATTTAAGATGGCATTAACTCTTTACCAAGTAAGTAGTTAGCAACAGTTACTGTTAATTGCGTTCCACATTTTCATCGTAAATTTGCATCAGAACTGCAGATATATTTGGTTATACTGGCTTAGTCTTAATACGGTACTTAATACTAACACTTAATAAGGTGCAGTCATTTTACCACATCTACATTTTATACTTTTGTAGTTTTAATTACTTTGGTCTTTGATTTACTTTAGTCTGGCATTTTATCGTCTGAAAACCAGCATTTTAAAATTAATCTACGTTAATTACCATAAGTACATTTTGTTAAATTATAATTTAACATGTGATACAAAAATGAGTTAAATAAAATATTTTATTTAATTATTTTCTTTGCTTCATAGGATTCTGCTTTAGGGTTACTTTGTTGCGGTAAATGCAGAAAGCAGAACCAAAATAGGTAGACATATTTTTTGCACAAACAAATTTAGATTTAAACGCATTGTTCATGACTTTTATGTGCTATAAATCTTTAAAATTATGAAAACCTATTTGGATCTTTGTTACTAAAGTAATCTTGCAAAAGTTACTATGTATATTATTTTTTGCTGTATTAAAATATATGGCCTTTTGTTTAATCTTGTAGCTTAAAACAAACAGTAGGTGATCAGATTATCTTTGGCTACAGGATTATTTGCAGATCCACAGCTACAGGGTTTAATGTATAACTCTTTCTGTGTCCTTTCCCACACAGAAAAAGGCTTAAGTAACTGAATAAATACATTTTCTCAGATTTATTGATTGAGAAGTTGAGATTTTCTGCAACAAACTGAGGAGATTTAGAAAATCGTGGTGCTGGATGTCAGGATTTTTTTTCAGGGACATGTAAAATATTGAGAAAAAATAACAGAATTTACCATTAACATGTTAAATTACTCTGTTTTGCTGATATTATTTATATATTTTTTGGAGCATAAAATGGCTGGTACTAATGATGCTTTGTAATACGTGTCAACAGCTCCAAGACAGCCATGAGCAGGTGTAACCTTAATATCTTGATGAGTGGTCAGTTATGTTTGCAGTTACGGCTGGATTAGATATTAACTGTGGCCTAAATCAATTTGTGCTGACGGATTTGGAAAGTGATAATCCAAGGTGTGCCTTTTAAAAGCGCGACTGAGGCCACTAGATCCATTTGTAGCAAGGTCCGTCTCTATCATAATCTCAAACAGCCAGAAGAAAACACCACCGAGGGGCTGACAGCAACCGCAAGCCGCAACCATGAACGGCACAGAGGGACCATATTTTTACATCCCTATGGTTAATACCACTGGTGTTGTCCGGAGTCCTTATGAATACCCTCAGTACTACCTTGTCAGCCCAGCAGCCTATGCTTGTCTTGGCGCCTACATGTTTTTTCTCATTCTTGTCGGCTTTCCTGTCAACTTCCTCACCCTCTATGTCACCCTCGAACACAAGAAGCTGCGAACCCCTCTAAACTACATCCTGCTCAACCTTGCGGTGGCTGACCTCTTCATGGTTTTCGGAGGATTCACCACAACGATTTACACCTCCATGCACGGCTACTTTGTCCTCGGACGCCTTGGCTGCAATATTGAAGGATTCTTTGCTACCCTTGGTGGTGAGATCGGTCTGTGGTCACTGGTTGTTCTGGCTATTGAAAGGTGGCTGGTTGTCTGCAAACCCATCAGCAACTTCCGCTTCAGTGAGAACCATGCTATTATGGGTTTGGCCTTCACCTGGGTTGCAGCTGGGGCCTGTGCAGTCCCCCCTCTCTTTGGCTGGTCTCGTTACATCCCAGAGGGCATGCAGTGTTCATGCGGAGTCGACTACTATACCCGTGCAGAGGGGTTCAACAATGAGTCCTTTGTCATCTACATGTTCATCTGCCACTTTATCATCCCTCTGTCTGTCATTTTCTTCTGCTACGGTCGTCTGCTCTGTGCCGTTAAGGAAGCAGCTGCTGCCCAGCAGGAGTCCGAAACCACCCAGAGGGCTGAGAGGGAAGTCACCCGCATGGTCATCATCATGGTCATTGGTTTCTTGGTTTGCTGGTGCCCCTATGCTGGTGTGGCCTGGTACATCTTCACACATCAGGGTTCTGAGTTTGGACCTCTTTTTATGACCATCCCAGCTTTCTTTGCCAAGTCATCCTCAATCTACAATCCACTGATCTACATCTGCATGAACAAGCAGTTCCGCCACTGCATGATCACCACCTTGTGCTGCGGGAAGAATCCCTTCGAAGAGGAGGAGGGAGCATCCTCCACTGCCTCCAAAACCGAAGCCTCCTCTGTGTCCTCAAGCTCCGTGTCTCCTGCATAAATGGAGCAACAGGCAAAGGCTCCATCATCCACTATCCAAGAAGAAGACTTCTGCCCCCCCAGGGAAACGACTGAAGGCTAATGTCTACAGAAATAACTTCCTGTTTTTTATTTTTACAAACGACTTGGTTCAACCTAAAGACAGTTGCAGGAAAAGTCAGCCCATTACAGAGTTGTTCCTGTATGTACAGAATATCCAACTTAACAATCTACGAGTTGTTGTCTTTTTTCCTCAGATGAAATGGGAAAAATGTTATGCTCTTACAGTTGGATCCTATATGATACTGGCTTATTTTTGAATGTAGAGGCATGTAATCAAGGCAACGTAAAATAAATCGCACTTTGCAAATGACTCATCCTGTTTATCTTTTAATTATAACTTGGGTGGAAAAGTTCATATGACTGTAGTATATTTATTCAAATAAATAAATAAATGTGAATGACCTATTCAAAATGCAGTTATGTCTTGAGTCAGTTTCTACTTACTTTTTCTACTTTAAGTCTGGTTTGGCAGTGTCTTTACATAGCTTTTAAAATTGTTTTTGTGTGGTGCCTGCAAAGCTAATATAATCTCATTTCAGTCACAGGTCACCTTGGTTTAGATCTTAGCCCAATAAAGGTATTACCGGTAAGACAATAATCTTGACCAGGATACATAGCGATATAATATGAACGGAATATGACACAACACTTATTTTTATCTGATGATTAAGTGATGAATAGGTCTTTGAAGTAAAAGGGTAAGAAGATTAATAGTAAATAATAGTAATCCACATTAGAAGAGAACACCTTTAATTCAAGGTTATGAATGTGGACAACAACAGTTTGTAAAGAGAAGTAGATGCTTACGTTCGTACGGTTCAAACACAGATTTACTGATAATTAATTGAAAAGGTACTTTTCTCCAAGGAGTATACAACTGAATGAGCTCAGTGCTCTGTGTTATATACAAATCATTTATTCATAAATGTATATTGTTTTATTCACTGCAATAAATTTTGAACGAGAGGACTTTTATGTAAAAGGGATCATATCCATATTTGTATTCATCATATCTAAAGAGTTATTGGGAAAAATAATAATTGGTGATCATTTCACTAAATTAAGTCTCTTTTAAGAAAGTATAAATTTTAAAGTAAATTCAGATACCTTCAGGAGCAGACAAAAACTACAGTTAAAGAAGAAAAGAGTTATCTATGCTCATTAACATTCTACTTAATGTTAGTTGAACCAATAAGATACATGGGATTCATAAAGCCTTACAGCTATGGGCTGGGTTACAACTTTGCGAATGAACCACCCGTACCTATCCCTGTTAGCCCATGAGTGAAAGGCAGTATACAGCCTGGACAGGTAACCAGTCTGTTGCAGTAAACAATCATTATGATCCTTTTTGTGTTCAGTTTATTTGTCGTGTGCAACAGTTCACTTTTCAGCTTGTTTTATTTTTTCAGTAAGAAAAACCTTGTATCAACATGATGCACTCACTTAGTGAACTAACATTACAAAGAATTGTTTGTTGGATGGAGATACATCCCTTAAAACAACTATCGTACCACGAAAATAAGGATTCTGATGATTTACAGATGCTGCTTTAGCAAAACATATTTGACAGAACGATTCAGTACAATTTCTTACTGAATTTTTATTACCCCTTCCTTTTGTGGGATTTTATATATTAGACTGATGCAAAGTAGTCTATAAGTGGTTTCAGAGTTGAATTCTAAAAACACGGCATGCATTTGCATTAGGCTTACCAATAGTTATACCAATAACCTTTGCAGTATTACCTTTGTTCACTCATAGGTCATTGAGAGTATGTTGAAGTGTGCAAGGCACTGTAGATAAGACAACGACCTCCAGATTTCAACAGAGGACCTACTTGTAAAGGCAAACCTGTCAGCAGGAAAATTTTATTTTGATCTCTAACAGGATAACAGATAATGCTGGGATTTTATGAGTAAAATACACATTTTTACTCATGAATTACATTTTTTCCTAGCCTGGGTGCCATTCCGAACTTAGTCCCGCCCACAAAGTTTGAGGTCGGGGAAGTTCGGTCTGGCTCTGCTCCATAGTAGCGCGAGTATTATCGCCCACTGTCAGGCGATCCAATCAAATTGTCAGGGCGGGCTTTATACGATGATGGACAGATGACCAACAGTACCGTAATCAACCACNTCTATGGAGCAGTATCAGACTCATATTCTGACTAGAATTGAGTCGGACTACGTCAGGCTAATTTTTTCCCATTTCAAAAAAAAAATTAAAAGAGCACTTTTGTGTGTGTAAAGAATCTAGGCAGAACAGAAAATGAAAAGACAGGGTATTTCAGAGTTGACATTGTTTTTGGTATTGTTGGATAGTTCCCTTTAGCTGAGCTCTGACTTGTAAGACCGATTACTGCTCATAGTTAACTGTTTTGGGGGTGCAGGTGGTGCAGTGGTTATTGGCCCGACCCATCTTCTGAGGCCTTAGTCCTCGACACGGGCGACCCGGGTTTGAATCCGGCCTGTGGTGCTTTCCCACATGTCAATCTCTCATCCCCTTTCCTGTCAGCCTACTACCGAAAAAAAGCTAAAAAAAAAAAAAAGGTGTTTTGCTAACATGGGTTCTTCTAGCTTAAAGGTATAGTGGAGAATTTTCGCAGATTTTTGAAAAGACCCGCCCTCTCCATTAAAAAAAAAGCACATGTACAACCCTGTACCCACTTCCGAGAGGGAGGTAATATTCGGGTGTAATAAACTCACATATCATCACTGATAATTATCCTAACAGCCCATTAAACATGTGCTAGGGCATGCACTAGCCCATTTCTCCTCGTGCACGCTCTGTTTAAAAGTTGCTGTTTGCATCGCTCATACAAGCTTACTTTCCAAAAGAAGATTTGTAATTTTTCCACCATGTAAGACTCACCACCAGTAAGTGAAAATGTGGACGAGCACGCAGGACGGCCTTACGTAAACATATCACCACAATGATTGACAATAAGAAGGACCACTTAGTTTGATGAGTGGAAAAAGAAAATTCTCCACTATGCTTTAATTCCTGAATTAAAAGTATAGTGAACAAAGCTCATGTACAATAGATTCATGTAAATAGGAAATATCTGTTGTTAATAGATATACTCTGATAAGGTACTCAGAGAAAGTGAGTCCAGATAATTTAAAAGCTGGAGCATGCCAGGGATTAATACCCTAGGACTTTGTGTTGTGTGAATCAGTAACATCCTCAGTGCTGATTCTGTGCCATTTTCTCTTTTTAAAAAATCTCTTAATACTCTGACATTCCTATATTATTTTAATGTGGATCCGCTGTAGGAATTATTGACTTAGGCATGTTTAAGTGAAATAATGTTGCAAAAACTATTATAGTATTTAGGAAGGTGCTCATAGCTACTGAGTCGGTAAATCTTCCTCTAACATGCTAAATATAGTGTGTGATTTTAAAAAAACAAAAAACAAAAAAAAAAAAGAGTTCATTTTATGGGTAAGGCCACTGTGTAGAGAATGGAAATCATTTTGAATTTGTATGGAAAACTTTATTTGATAATAAAAATAGCATCCACAGACTTCTTTTGATAGCTACATATACATTGTAATCCATCTGAAGGAAAAGAAGCTGGATAAGTCCACATCTACTTTAACTTTGACTAATGTTATGTATAGCTTCATGGGTCAAATAAAGCTATGAACAATGTAGTATTTATATATGCATAGTTATATAAAAAGGTTGGCCCATATACATGTACTGCTTTTATCAACACAGAGACATCATTATGTCTGGAGCACATTGCAAGAAATAATGCTTGAAGAACACAGACTGCATACAAGTGCTTTATAATACAAAGGCAGGCTAACCATAGAGAGATTCAAACCATTTAACAGCTATTGATTGACCAAATACAGTCTTACTTTTTCAAAATGTCTTTCCATACCTGACCCAGAGTAAGTCAACATATTTACCATAAATCAGCAGGTCCATTTCAGAGATATAAACACAATATCACATTCCTCAATGCAGAGGTTTTTCATAAATTTCTCTTTTGTGCAAGAAAAAGGCAACATTTTAAATCCTTGATGAGTTCCTAGTAGTTACATTGTGGGGGGTGGGTGGGGGGAGAGACTCTTTACAGGTGATGGCCAACCTATTACATGTGAAACTCTCTCTTTTTTGTTTGGTTTTGTATTTTTCTCTAATACAGTACCATAGTGAGACCAGTGATAAAACAATGCATTTGTTATGGTTCATCCAATATATAGTTCTTGTTTAAAATCAAAACATAAAACAGGAAGTTAACACAGGAACAAAAACATATGAAAAAGCAGCAGTCAGACTCCAGTGACTTGACAGCGTGGCTCAGAGTGGCAGAATCAGTATTCTCTTCTACCAGGCTCTCCATACGGTACCGTGTCGACAAACCTCATCAGCTCATTGTGTCAGGGACCAGGAGGTGGATGACGGGTGTAATAAACTTGGCTGGGCCAAGAATAAGAGCAGGGAATTCCTTAAGCCTTACAAGGTGGTAACAGGGATAATTGACTCCATTATAATTTTTGGTATAATGAACATTCATAGTTCTAATCAGCTATAGCTGGTGTTATGGTAAAATGATTATTCCAAATCATTAAACAGGATTTTTTTTTTTAGATACTTTGAGAACTCATTTGATCGTGAACAATTATAGTTAAATAGAGTTAAAAGAAACTCCTCCAGTTTGAAAAAGTAAGGTAATAAGCAATTAGTCTTAAAGAAAATAATCTCAGGCCCCAAACACACATCTTCAGATATGTATTTTGTTCTTTCTGTATCTACAGTAGTAGTTCCATTTAAATGTTGTAATAACCATGCTGTACCAGTAGGTGGTGATAATACTGTCATTAATCATAATCGTAATTATTACTCAAATTATGATTGTGGCTTAAAGCGTGGTTAGGCTAAAGTTTCTCTCAAAACAGTTGTGGTTCAAGTTTCTTTTTGAATGCATTTATCATTTGATCTCAGTCAAAATGCGGGGATCTACAGTGTGGGCCTCCATGTTACCATTTTTGCTAATCGTCAGAAACCCAAATAACATATTTATACCATAAATCAACTCTTTTAAATGCTTCTAATTGGAAATAATTA